ACACACACACACACACACACACACACACACACACACACACACACACAAAATTCATATTTATGTATTGACACTTCTTTATTCTTCTGACATTAATGCTTTCATTTAAAAATACACTAACTACGTATAAAGATATCTTTCTCTAAAAATGTGAAAAATGCAGTTAACAAATGTATGCATTAACACTGTATTCTGTCATTACTAAGATTCTTGTAAATTATGTAATGACTTTCTTTAGGAATGTACTGTGTTAACATTATTTTCCTCTAAAATGAGAAAAATCCAGGTGTGTGTGTGTGTATAGGTATGTACTAACACTTCTTTTTCTGGCAGTAAGCCTTTGCACAATTATTTAATGCCTTTATTTGGAAAAGGACTAACTAGATTAAAAAATTATCTAAAATTGCATGGTAACACTTCTTTATCCTTCTGTCATTCAGAATTTGTGCACCTGTTTACTAGACTTTATTTAGTATTGCATTAAATGCATAAAACATATTTTCCTCTTAAAAGGAGGAAAAGGCATGAAAGCTATAGCTATTCATTTATTTTTAATTTTTCAGTAAGCATAAATTAAATCAATTTTTTTAAAAACATTTTTTTCAAAATAGCTGATGGTGTCAAAAACGTACACGTATCTAAACATGATATCTAAAGGCCACAGAAAAGGAGAAAAGAGTAGGAGGGACTTCCAAAATCATACAGCCTGATGACTGGACAAAAATGGGGCAAGACAAAAAGAGCAGCACAATGTGTGAAACAGGCTCTCATTGGCACATTAACATAGAAAGGGAGCACGGAAACCTGTCAAAAATTATGACAAGTAAAATTATAGAGTTAAAACTACTCCCCTCCTATGTGATGTATGAAGACCTCAGTGTGGGGTCCAGGACTGTGTGGATTTTTATAGGCAGGCTAGGGGTTGCACATTATCCCCCTTCCAGCCTAGGGAAACTTAAGCAAAAAAAGACAAGGCTTATGATTACATTATTTCTCTTGCTAAATCCCTCAGCCACTATGGTCCTGGGGATACAAGGAAGTGAACACCATTCCATCTTGGCTCATGTTTCTTCAACGGACTTGTTAAGTTCCAGTCGCAGAATCTCTACCACATATTGTACACAGAAGCATACACCTCAATTGTATTGTAGCCTGCAACACACCTAAGACACCAGGCAACCATGGCTGATGTGCAATTCAGAAAGAACAGAAGTAGACTTTCAGATCCCAGAGGTAATTTTCAGGGTTAACAGTTACCAAAAGTATCTTTTTTATTTATAAAACAAACACATTTGATCTGCAGTTACTGAGACCTAGTAAACCGGGAAACCCCAGAAGGGCTGCTCTTGGATGGAAAATATTCTAAAAGGGAATCAGGCAGCTCTTGGAATAGTTGATTATGAAGCCAAGATTGGTTAGCAGATGTTGAATTCATAGTTAGGCGTCCAGAGGTAGACTGCAGAAAGTGGATGCTTGTTTAAGCAATCGCACAATGTTATACGTTACGGGCTTTCCTTATATTTTAACCAATAGTCCTTCAAAATACGCAGATAGGATTAGTATAGGAGGAGGAGATTTTTGCTGAGGGAGCACTACAGTAATAGTCCCCAGAATTCCAAGACATAGAACAGTGGACAGGGAGGAAAAAAAATGGAAGAGCTGGCTGGGTGGGGCTGAAGATGAGAGAGACACTGAGGATTCGCTCCAGAAAAGAGAGAGAGTAACTAGAGAGAAAGAGACAAAGACGACAAGGAAGACAAAAATCAGATAGGGGTATGTGAAAAAGACTTTTTGTATAAAAATCATGGGAAAAAGGGGACAAGCTGTTTGACTAATACTGAGGAATTTATAGGAAAAACACAATGGTAAAATTTTCAAAAGTGTCTCACTGACTTTTGGTTTAAAGAACTCAGGGATCTCAAAATATTCCTCAGCACCTTCTGTCCTCAAGAATCTACCCTGTTGAAAGGAGTTAAGCAGCCAAAAGCCACCCATAGGAGTTTGAGAAGCAGACATTGCTTTAGAACAGGGCTTTTGATATTTTCCTTGAGAGGGATGTGACTATCTTCTGTATCTGGGATGACCTTTCATTATTTTCAAAACTGATTTTGGGACTTATAATAATTGTCTGAGCTCATGTTTGCAAACACAGTATATTAATTCAACTTCACATTATTTTGCAGTAGTATCGCGTAGGATTAATTTAGGTTAAGTATAGAAACTGGAAGTTTATCTGTAAGCAGAGACTTTATCTTTACTTTATCTGTAAGCAGAGACTGAAGAATGAAATATTCTCCTCTGGAGAAATTCAGAGATAATTGACCTCTTTCAAAGAGTTCTTTTCCCCTTGTTTTCAATGGGACTGAGGCCAACGGCTGCACAGCTAAGATGCCTTTTTTCAAAGTGGCCACTGCCTCACATTGTTCCCAACAGGAGTGAAGCCAAGCTGTCATCAGGAAATAGAGAGGAGCCTGTGAGAAGCACAGGAGCAACCACGGAGGCCTCAGTCCCATTGAGGAAAAATAAGAGAGGGCAGCAATTTTGAAAAAGCAGGTTGTGGAATTCTGTGCAATAGAACATTCTCCCCCCTGCTGAGGAAAAAACTTTCAGTTATGAAGAATATTGGCAAAAAAAGACCTTTAATCCTAAAATTTTTCTTCAAGTTTAGCCAATGAACAGATTTTCAATGAATTATCACTTCATGGGAAGTTTGAACAGTCTTTGTTATTTCATTACGAAGACCATTTGGGATCAAAAAAAGTCTGAGACAGGATGCTAAAATTTCCTTAAAGGACCCAGTATTTAATTAAATTTTAACACAAACTAATTAATAGCTTTCTAAATTCTCAAAAAAATAATTCTGCACTTCAAAAATTAAGTGCTGTAATTTTGAGGACGATATGCTGGCACTGAGTCCCTGCTGCAATTGGTACCTCCACAATAAAGGGAAAAATTTAGCCACAAAAATATAGTTGCAGCTTTAAGAAAAATAAGGAATTTGCACTTAGCAGTAAATATTTAAATAAAATAACATTGTGTAACTCATCATATCTCCAGAGAAAAGTAATATATAAGTATTTGACACAGTGCGATATACAATATTACTCAAAGCAAATTCAAGAGACCTCGCTGTTGAATTTTAAAGCAAGTACTTCTCTAGTATGAATTCTCTCCTGAAATATAACAGAAAGGAAGCTGTAACACCTCCCCCCAACCCCCAGAAACATAGGTCTATTGTACTTTAGAGTACTATAGTATAATTCAGATATTTTCCAAAGTACTGTATATAAATAAATGGAATATTCTATTTTGGAACAAGGTTTTCCATAGAAATCCAAAATGCTACAAATTACAACTTAAAGTCAAACTTTGTTGGAGACACTAAAATATTAATGAAATAGTATATATAGCCATCAAAATTAAATCAAAAAACTTCTCAGTTTCTCAGTGTACCTTGATTCGTCGTATGCTGATCATTGCCTCAGATGCTCTCTCAACAGCCGCAGGGAAGAAGAGAGTGACAGTCAGTCTCACTGCACCATACAGTGACACTGCCACAAACACCCGACTTGCAGAAATAACATTGCCAAGTAGTACATATGTCATGAAAGTCATAAAAACTGTTATTTTGCTTGCAACAAAGAATGATGCCAAGTTCAATCCTCGAAGATAGGAGCTTTTAAGAACCATGGAAATCTCCTTCCTAAAAACACAACACAAAATAGTTTCAAAGCTATCACTATATTAGACCATTCACACAGGCTCACTCTCATCATGGACTTCTTTCAATAATAGGAAAACACCCAGTTTCAGCATTTTGTTGTTAACTGTTGGGATGTTTTAATTGTTGTTAAAAATAATGTACTCAAGAATGATTGCTAAAGCAGTATTGGATTTGGCAAATAGTAATAAAATAAAACAATAACAGAGGAGCTTCTAAATAGGGCTTAGAATAATATTTAAATGCAAGGTTCTTTACCAATAGCTATACGAAAGGGAAGCTCCAAATAAGACTACTTTTTATCCGAAGGCGAAAGAGCAAAATTAAGTGCTTTCTTTTATCTAATTTAATCAGAATACAAAGCATCACTTTGAGAAACTGTTATATATGTAAACAACTTTAATACATTCTTTACAATTGTTTAATATAGTCAGAGCATCCAGAAGCTCTTTACTCTTAACATTCTCAGAGTCCAGTATTGTTTGACCATGCAACCCCTACTACAGTCAATAGATATTGCAGTTAAAAACTGATTCAACTCTGAAAAAAATATATGAGTTCAGCTGTGGAATGCTGATCCAAACAAATTTGTGAAGCTAGTTGGTTGCCAATTCCTCTGGCTGAAACACAGGCCCCTCCATGTTCCCTGTTCTTGTTCCAGATCCTTCACTGGATTTGGGCCCTATTCCTAAACTTCTGCCTTTCTAGATCTAGTTCCTGACAGCCGTGATCCACAGCTGTGACCTCTGTACCAGCTATTCTGCCAACCATTACACTACCAACCTGGTGCTGGGTAGACCGATTCAGTTCAGAGGAATACAAGGCTGTTCACCTAATTCATCTCCCCATAGTGACCTCAGGGTTGCTGGAGCATATGTTTTCCAGACTAAAATTTATTTTCAAAATCTTCAATTTCCACTTATAAATTAGTCATTCAATCTGACCCACAGTTCATGGTCTGAAGCAATGCTTTTCTCTGAATAACAGGGCTACAGTAGTAACTCTGGATAGTACTGGTCACACTTTAGCCAAATATGTGACAACTTCTCTCCTCTGTATGTTCTAATTCTATCAACTTTCTGCTTGAATTTATCTAATGTAACTTCTATTAAACCTACTACTAATTTTGTTTTCAATCTTAGATCTTCTTTTAGTTCTCAAGTAAAGTAATGAACAGTTAGATTATTTTCTTTGGAAGTTGGATACCAGGGCTAGAATTTTACCTATGCAGTATTATCCTGCGTGAAGGCATTCAATTAAATCAAAGGAAGAGAGAAACTAATATGAAATTAAACATTAACAAAGATAAGGTGCTATCATAAGGAATGCCCAGGATCCTTGAGAAACCAGTGGAGAATACTCCCTACCTGGCTCTGTCCAGGCTGTGGTTTACTCTTCCGAAGACTAACCCTAGCATCAAAGGAGGATACTAAACCATTACAGATCCCTGCACCTAGAAAAGGTGGTTGAGAGAGCACTGACAGAAATGCAGGGAGAGACACAGAAACTGCAGCAAGCAGGCAGTCTGCTTCTCCCACCACAAACAGCAACAGTCAGAGTCTCCTGAAGGAAAAGGCTTACAGATACCAAACACAGTTAGGGAAACAGTAGGGTCGCAGCCCAGAGATCCAGCCCCAGACTAGTTAAACTGCAGAGTTCCAGCCTTGAGAAAGGTGCAGCAACAGGCCTGCCACCTGATGGCTGCACTTCAGATGGACACAAAAGGAGTCTAAGCATAGCTTCTATAGGATTCTAGATTTATAGCTAAGGTGAGAAAGGAAATCCCATGATATTCCTCAGAGAAAAGAATTTTGCAGGTTAAAGTCAGGAGAGCCAGTAAGTCGATTGTGAGGATGAAACTCTTTATAAATAGGGGACACTTGATGTATATAGGTTGTTAGGCAATAAACCAAATGTGGAAACAAGAAAAATGGTAATTCTGTATTCACACTTACAAGAAACCAATTTTAATAAGTATCAAAGAACTTTTTTCTGCCCTCAAGACAAACTCATACTGTCCTTATGCAGAGGTGAAGAAAAAAATGACAAAGCTATACAAGGGTTCTAGGAAATTCCTGGATTTCAAATCCAAAAATAAGGCATCTACTAACATATAAAAACATACATGAATTTAGATCAAATACCACGGCATAAATTTCAGTGAAACACTGATTACCTTCTTATACTGTTAACTAGTTCTGAAAATGATTTTTCCCAGGCATACATCTTTATTATCCTCATACCAGTTATGACTTCATTCATTGTCCTAATCCTGACATCTGTCAAGGCTGCAGTTCTACTCCTGTAATTAAAAGAAAAGTTCTCAGATTCACAACAACAGTGACTGTTCAATCTGTACTGTTACACTTATACAGTAAACTTTGACATGCAGTAAAAATTTGGGTTATGTGTTCTCATCTATGCAGTTTTCAGTGAAGAGCCTAGCATTTGTATACACCAGGAATCTATGTACAGAGCACCACATGTACCAGTATATACAGACATTGTGATTATATGCCCTTTTTTAAAAAATGAAAATGTATTTTTGCATGGTTAAAAATAACTGAAATATATTTTGGCCAGAGTAAGAATATTTGCCAATAACCCGATAAAGAAAAATACCTCCCATCAAGTGTAACATACAATAAAATAGAGATTTTCCAAACATATTTAAAAGACAAGATAAAAAAAGGGAAGGAAAAATACAGGACATTCAAGAAGTAAATAATCTGAGTTGAAAGTGCCAAAATATAAGCATTTCTCCAAGAAAGTATGTTGAAGCAACTGCTTTTTCTGCCCACAAAAAGTGGGGAAAGAGGCTCTTCTGAAGAGGTCAATGAATGGGATTGACCTGATCTTGGTTATTTCTGTGGCTAATTCTGCCTGAAGCACACAAAACCCATGATATTGAGCATTAAAAGTAATTAGTTATAATTAGACCTGGTGAGAAAATTTTCATCAAGATTAAATTCTTTTGACAAATGAAGGATTTGTTTTCTGACCAGCTTCAAATACAGTAACTGCTCACTTTAAGTCGTCCCAGTTAACCTTGTTTCGTTGTTATGTTGCTGAGCAATTAGGGAACATGCTCATTTAAAGTTGTGCGATGCTCCACTCTTGCATTGTTTGGCTGCCTGCTTTCTCCGCAGCTTTCTCCCCCTAAACACCGCAAGCCAGCTGATTGCCCCAGGCAGAAGGGAGGGGGGAGGAGCAAGGACTCGGCGCGCAGGCTCCCCCTCCCTCCCCTGCCTCCTGCCGCAGCAATCAGCTGGCTTGCGGCGTTTAGAAGGGAGGAGACGGAGCGGGGAGGAGTGAGGACGCAGCGTGGGAAGTAAAGGGGGAGCAGGTGGGGGGGGAGAAGAGGCAGGTCAAGGATGGGGGAAGGGGGGGAGTGGGCGGGCTGAGGGTTGAGCCCCCTCCTGCCCTCCCGCCCCTGGTGATTGCAGAGTAGGGGAAGCTGCCGCTGCTGGGCAATGTGCTTCTCCTAGCCTACAGCACCTTCAGCCTCCTTGCCTACCTCATCTCCAGTGCCAGTGAGCTGTGCCTGTGTAGGGTAAGGCAGGGGCACCTCCCAACTATAGTACTGTATGTACAGTATGTTTGTAAACACACAGCACGTGCACACTACTCCCCACCCCCCCCAGCGCAATATTAAATTGCTTGTTTAAAATGTATATAATGCCTTTTGTCTGGCAAAAAAAAATTCCCTGGAACCTACCCCCCCCCCCATTTACATTAATTCTTATGGGGAAATTGGATTCGCTTAACATCGTTTCACTTAAAGTCGCATTTTTCAGGAACATAACTACAACGTTAAGTGAGGAGTTACTGTATAATAATATTCTCCATCCAGAGGTATTAGTACCTCACAAGCAGGTAGTATAAACTTAGTCAACAACTACCGAAACCACCAGTTTCTTTGAGAACCAGTAGGACAATATGAGAGGGAAAGCAGACCACCTCTAATACACCTCTACCCAGATATAACGCTGTCCTCGGGAGCCAAAAAAAATCTTACCGCGTTATAGGTGAAACCGCGTTATATCAAACTTGCTTTGATCCGCTGCGCAGATCCACCACAAAAGACTCAGCACACAGCACTCCCCCCCCAGAGCGCTACTTTACTGCGTTATATCCGAATTCGTGTTATATCGGGTCGCATTATATCGGGGTAGAGGTGTACTACAGGAAAGGACATTGGGTATCTAGTATAATTCCTACCTTCTGAAAGCAGGAATTATAAGAAAGAAATTTTCTTGTAAATACATATAATATATTTCCAGACTTTAAGATTTAAAAATCACCAGGGATATTTCCAAAAATAATAATAAAAAAATTGGTACAAAAGTGAAAGGAAGTGATAACAGGAAACAATGAGAAACGGTCACTATTTGTTGATAACTGTATAAAATATGACAGCAGGATTTGCTGTTTAGGTTGCATTAGGCATATCTATTCTAGCCCCATATTTCCTGTTGCTTATAACCCGGGATTCTAGACGTCCATTTGCCATGGAAAAACGTGGAATTTACATTTTTGCAGAGAATCTTTAGTTTTTACGTTTTGTGAATAAAAACCTATACAGTAGAACCCCATTTATCCGAGCCTCCATTATCCGGCTCTCCGGATTAACCGAACCAGGACTGACAGCCCGAGCCCCGGGCGACGAGGCTCCTGCTGTCAGCCCCAGGCAGCGTGGCTCAGGCTTCAGCTGAAGTTGCTGCCCTGCCACCCAGAGCTGAGGATCTCCGGATTATCCAAATTATTGATTATCTGATCTGACCCCAGTCCCAATTAGACTAGATAAAAGGTGTAACACTGTCTCAACAAAATATTGTGTTCAGCTGATACCTATGTATATTTTGCCTAGGGAAACTAAACACAGACTTCCTTTTTTTAATCAGAGAATTTTGGTTTCGTTTTTCTTGTTATCATGGAAAATTAGGATCTCTCCTTATAACTAAGGTCCTAGTTTATCATGGCAAACAAGTTTAAAAAAAACAGCTTCTTAATGGTAAAAAGTCACAATTTAAACTGGGGGGAAATTAACACATTTTTTCGTATGTATGAAATGGTTCCTTATTTTTAAAGTATACTAAAATCATATTGAATTCATTCATGTAGAAAAGAAAACATAGTAAACATAACATATTGATAAATTCTTATTTATAGTAGGGTTTATTTTGACACATCATGTGCTAAAATTTTCCACTGTTGCTACTACCAGCACAGCTCCACTAACAGCAGGAACTATTGGAGCACTAGTGTAGACAAGGCACTAGCACATCAGGGATAGACAGCACATTCTATATTGGTACTCCAGTCATTGCTACGACTGTTGGAATTGGAGAGAAATTTCAGAGAAAATAGGCTTGTGTATGCATAGCCAAAGAAGCCGTTCTGCAACGCAGTTTTCTTTCATATAAAAGTTGTGTTTAGAGATGATAGGATATCTGTAAAACCATGTCACTTAGGAATATAGCACATGATGTATCAAAATAAACCCTACTATAACTTTTATAAGAATTTATCAATATTTTATGTTTACTGTGTTTTCCTAACGTAAACAAGTAGGATGACCAGATAGCAAGTGTGAAAAATTGGGACGGGGGTGGGGGATAATAGGTGCCTATATAAGAAAAACCTCCAAATATCAGGACTGTCCCTATAAAATCAGGACATCTGGTCTCCCTATAAACAAGGCTTGCTAGTAGAACACAGGAAGACAATATAGTATCAGTTAACCTTCCTGACATGAAACAAGAGTATCTTTACAACTATGATGGTTAGGAACTATTTTAGCGAAAACTGAAAAACTTCCACAGAGGACTTCTGAACAGCCATGATACAAACACCCTCTTCTCCCCATCCCCAGATAATATATAAAAAAAAAATGGAATATGTGATCTGTTTATGTAACAAACAAATCAGTCTTACTTGTAACTTTGTGAAATTTTTACCTTTCAGACGCTTATTTTCCAGGATTGGTCTCCATACAGTCTGGAGTCCATACCAGAGTAGATTTTGTATGTTAAAGTTTGTAGGGTTTAGACAAGGGAGAGGGAGCTCAGTATGGGGAGAATGAAGCAAACAACATAATCCTTCTTATGATTTTTAAACTCTCCCAGTGAGGGTACATCTACACAGCCCTCGGTAGTGAGTCTCAGAGCCTGGGTCAAGAGACTCGGGCTCGCGGGGCTTGCACTACCGCACTAAACACAGATGTGTAGACATTGCAGCTCAGACTCTGAAACCTAGGGAGAAGCCAGACTTACACACAACTTAAAAGCTCTGTCCAAATAGCTATTTTTAGTGTGGTAGCACGAGCCCAGTGAGCCTGAGACTGTTGACCTGGGCTCGGAGGCTCACTGCCATGGGCTGCCGCTGAGTGTGCAGACATTCTTGGAGGGGCTGAGGACAGAAAGTTAAGTTTCCTATAGTAATAGTCCTCAATGGGAGCGTCTTCAAGTGTTCCAGTGAAAATTAGTTTTTATTTGGATGAGTTATTACCTATTGGAAAGTCATATTTGCACATGCACACTGGAGGCCAGATTCTCACTAGTGTAAATCAGAGTAGTTCATGGACTTCCATGGAGCTATGACAATTTATACCAACAGAAGACCTGGCCCCAGATTTTTAAAAAGGACAGATCTAAGCTCAGCACATGCACATGCTAGTTGTGCTACGCATGCACTCACACCAATTTTAGGTATGAAAAGGAAACGTACCAAAGGTTTCCTATAGACTTCCTAAACTGTGCATGAGAGGTTCCCTCATATAGTCCTCATAAACTCCCACTGGCTTTAATGGTAGCAGCTGCAGTGCATGGGATAGTGCATACCAGTGGTGCCTAGCCCAATAGTGGAATGAATCTTTTCTAACTTTTTCTCTTTTAAATCACATAGGAAATTACATTTTTAAAGTACATTTAAAGAGAATGCTACCATTACATCGTTAAGCCCTGAAAAAGTCTGGAAATTATAATGCTAAGATTGCTCACACAATCTGAAGGTTGCTCCCATGCATATATTTACAATACAGTCTTCGATTTCATGATCACAAACTGTTTTTCATATAATACAGTATAATACATACATTTTGTATAAATGTTTATGTTTATGTGCGGCTAACAGTAGTACCATATAATACAGTGTCCCAGAGACCATGAAGGTCATTTATATGACAAGTACACTAATTAGTCTTACTCAAGACATTACAGAATACGGGTCCCATCCTGAAAAATAGGCATTGAAGTCAATGGTACTATTTGCATGAGCAAAGTTACTAGCATGCATAGATATTTGCAAGATTGGGGAGGAAGTATAAAATGCTGCATAATAATGAAAGTTAGCTTCTCATGCAGAGCCCACCTAAACTTGCAGCAGTGGCTCCAATCCTGCAATTAGCTCCATGCAGGTGGACCCCTGTGCCCATGCAGACCCCAGTCACTTCAATGCCCACACATAGCTCATTGCGGGATTGAAATCTACTTCAGCTTCATTCCCTGAACTGCAAATAAAGAGAGACTTACGCACATGTGCGCAGATAAGTATCTTCCTCATCAACATATTCCTTCCCCTGTGCTGAGCCTAAGCAAGGATCTGCTGCTGGTTGAAAAACATTGAATATTACATGGCCACTGACTAATTATTAGAATACATACCTTAGAGAAGAGAATTTCTCATCTCGTTGTGTGACCCTGGGCAAGTCATTTAATCTCTCTGTGTCTCAGTTTTCCCATCTGTAAAATGGGGATAATAATGCTTACCACCTTGAAAAAGCACTTTGAGATCTATGGATGAAAAGCACTGTGTAAGTGCTAAATATTATAATGATTGTTAATATAAAAAAGCTTAAGTCAATAAAGCTACATTGGATCATTACAACAATGAAAACAGTGCAAGTGTATAGAATGAAAAAGTTATTAAAACATGGTACATGTTTGTATAACTAAAGTTGTGGGGGGGGGGAAACTGTATTATTTTATTATTTGAGAAATAGTATGTGACCATGTAACTGAAGACTGTATCATAGTGAATAAGCACAAGGAACAGCGTTCTATAGGTAACTCTAATTCGGTAATTTCCAGACTTTTGAGTGCTTAGCCATGCAATAACAATGTCAGTTTAACTATTTTCACAATATTTTACCTTCAACCAATCTTAAAACAAATAAAAACATCAGTACCTAGCCATACAGTTTTTATTACATAAAGACAATGCAGGAAACTATTCACACTATAACAGGTTATGCCACAAAGAAGAGACAGGCCAAGCTCACAGACATCCACTCATAACACATTTAAGAGCTTTAATAACATTCTCAGACAAAGCCACCAAATGCTTCGTTAAAACAGAATACGTTTGTAAAATAAGTTATCTATTAATTTAACACATTACTAGAACTTTGCCATTATAAAAGTTTGAAAGTTAGGAAATCAGAATACTGTAGTTTAAGAAAAACTATCAGACTTTCCACAAGATGTAATTTGGGGGGGGGGGGGAAGAAGCTGGTGGGGTGGGGGGAGGCCATAAGGTCTGAATCTGGTTGGAAAGATACTGCAGAGCCACTATACATAAAAACCCTTCCTGTTACAAATCTTGCACTGCTACTGAGGTCCTAAGGAGCTCATTTCTTCCTCTCCCCCCCCCCCCCCCCCCCCCCCTTTTTCCTCCCCCCCCCCCCCCCCCCCCCCCCAATGTTGTTTCCTCACAGCCTCTCCTCACTTTCAAGACCCTGAATCACGGGTATCATTCTTGCAGATGAGGAGCCTTGTATAGGAATCTTTTTAGAGCTTCTGACTGCAACATCTTTATCATCCTCAGAGGTCAGACCTTGTGAAAAACCAAGGCACTCTCTTTTTCCTGTTGCAAGGAACAACAGCATTGTCCACAACAAACCCAGTCCCTAAATGCCCATGCAGCAAGACATCAAGGTCAAGATTTTTCAAAATATTAGACTTCCAAGTCCATATGTAGGCAAGCAAATAAGCAAACTGATTTTCAAAAGGATTGGGCACCCAAGCAGGTCCCAGTGACTTTAATGGGATTCGCTGGATGCTCAGCACTTTTGCAAATCACATCTCTTATTTTAGGTGCTACTTTTTGAAAATATTGGCAAACAGTTGGAAATTGAACAAAGGGCCTAGCCCATGGCAGTTTTGACATCAGGCCAGCCAAGCACATGCACTTTCAAAACCTGCACAGATAATGTGCACCACAAAAGTTTACCTTACCTTAGTGAAGAAAACAACCTCCCAATACAGGTTTGTAAAGGAAGTAGAATAATCAGAATTGCCATTCCTGCAAAGCATGATGGGCCTATTTCAATCCAGAGAAGTGCAGTTACTGCTATAGCTTGAAGTGGTCCAGCCCATAAAAAGTGTAAGAAAATTGTTACCTGCACAATCAGTTAAGATATAAAAACCGCTTTTAGCATTAATTGAAAAGACAAAAACACCAACAATAAAACCCTTATCAGCAGGGAAATTGTATATATAAATATATATAATTTTCAATTTTAAAATATAAATGTTTGCATGTTTTCTGCTTTCCGCTCAAGGGAATATAAAGCGGAGGTGCCATTTTTGTTTCTGGTAGACATTCTGAAAAATAAGCCTGCAGAAAGATTATGGTAGGCAGTCAGTGGAAAGAGACAGAGAGACTCACAGCCCAGTTATTGAGAGAGAACTAAATAATGGTTTTAAAAATCAGCATCCTCAGCTAGTTAGAGTGCAGGCATTTGCATAAATGGGAAAACTGTACTATTATGCACCAGTAACTTTAGAGCATCCTGTATTCCAAGACAATTCCATGAGTATAACACGTGTCCTTTTCTTGCTTCATTTACAAAACTTACAATTATCTGCAGAGTGGTATCTCTCTCTGTCTGTGTACCCTAACTGGATACCATAATCTTTTCACTGACATTTTCCATGGTGGGGGTCTGACCCAGGCTGAATATTTTTGGAAAATTTCAGCCAAACCAGTTCAGTTATTTCCAGGGGTGAAAGTAACTTAAAGGACTTACCAGTATGCTGGAGTCCTGAGCAGGGGGCGGGGCCTCAACTGGAAGAGGCCGGGCCTTTAAATCCCTGGGCCCTTTAAATCGAGATTAAAAGGGCCTGGGTCTACGGCTGCGGTAGCGGAGGCTGGGAGCCCCAGGCTCTTTAAATCACCTCAGGAGCAGTAGCTGTGGCGGTGCTGGGCACCCCGGGGCTCCGGCGGCGATTTAAAGGGCCCGGGGCTCCCAGCAGCCGCTACTGTAGCCGGAGACCCAGGCCCTTTAAATCACCGCCAGAGCCCCGCTGCCGTAACCCCGGGGCTCTGGTGGCGATTTAAAGGGCCTGGGGCTCCAGCTGCTGCCAGGAGCCCTGAGCCCTTTAAATCGCCGGCCTGGGGAAGCTGCCTGCTGCTGGTACAGTCAGCGGTGTACCGACTCTTGCCGGTACACCTTACCAGACTGGACCAGCTTACTTTCACCTCTGGCTATTTCTGAGAAGAAGGTTAGGGAAAAATATGTTTTGCCCATGTGTAAAATTCCACCAGCCTTTTCTGTGAGAAGCTCTAGCATCCCTTTTCTTTTGGAGCAGGGACTTGAAATGTGGCAGGGAGTGGCCTTTATCAGAAATGTGCCTTTTGCCATCTCCAGGAAAATCCACCCAAATTTGCTCAAGTAATAAACCCTTGAAAAAAATCACAGTTCACACACGCTTAGCAGAGACTTGTTAGAGATTAAGGGCTAAATCTCTGAAGAGTCTATCCTCACTGAGCATGCTCCAGCCTCCCACAGGTCCTAGTGCTGAACATATTGCAAACAGACCATCACCACAGAGCCTATGAGGAAATGAATAATCTGTATTCAGGGCACAGTTTGAATAGTGCACAATAAATAAGGCCTAGGGCCACAACTGAATGATGAGGATGAAACAAAATACTGACTGCCTGTTCATTCAGTGAGTTCCATCCTTCCTATGCACTGAAACTGATAGGGGTTGTGGAAAATATAGTATGTGCTGGTGTACAGCATTTCCTAATTTTTGAATGCTTGACTTTGCAACTTTAATAATGTTCTTTTAATGTAGTTTTTTGTGGGGGTATTTTTTAATATTTTGTTTAAATTTAAAATATTCTAGTAAAACACACACAACATTAGGGTGAAGCCTATTAATTCAACAGCAACACTGCCTTGGGCTATCGCTTCAGCCCAGGATACCTTATTATAAAGCATGGAAGTGTTTCCCAGTTATTACAATAATCCTGGTTGAATTTCAGCTTAAAAGCTAAAAGGAAGAGTTTTAAATGTGTTTCAGTTCACTCAACACAACCTTTTAAAAACTAAAACGAAAAGCATCTCAAATAATTCAGTCAATTGCAGAGTTGCCTTTAATACACTTACATGCACCAGCACTACGCCGGGTTTATAAACAGAGCAGGAATATCTACACACAAAAAGAAAAGGGATTTTTTTTCCAATTTCAAGAAGCTATTGCTATTAATATGTTTGGTAAAACCACCTTTAAAAATCAATACTAAATTATGAGCCTAAGTTGTCACTTTAAAAATGATTGTGAAGTAAAACCTCATATCCCATACACCTCAAATATTGCAACTTGGACCCATCTCTCATCTCCTTACCAGAATTGTCTAAGAAGACCAATAATAAGTCTTACCTGATCAAATTTGTTCACATCATTTGATAAAAGATTTACTATTTGACCTGTGGTAGTTTTTCCCAGGGCTGTGTTACTGAGACGAAGTGCCTGAAATAGAAAAAAAAAAAAATCAAGCATTCTTAAATTATTTTAAATTAACTACCACATTGTATGGTATCAGAATAGCTGCATCATCTCTTCTAAAGCCTAGATGTACTATTGTCAAATCTGGCATCAGAGCTATGAATTATGAGGTATTTTTAAGATGAAGACACATGAGAATTCTTGGAACTGCAGTTTAAAGGCCTTAGTTAAAACACTGGCTGGTGATCAAGATTTGGCTCTGAAGTAGAAAACATATAGAATAATATATGGGGGGGGGAGGAGCAGAATTGACATTAAAAATCTATTTCCCTCTGCATTTCCAGTAGTGACTTAGAACACAAAACTAATATGGCAAAATATTAAACCTGAACCAAAAACTCCGCACATTTCTTTCACATGCATCCCTCTGTCAAGAACACTTGAGCAAAACTAGACTGGAAATCTCTATCCTGAAGACTCAGTTTGACCAGCTGAGTCTTTGCCCCAATCTTCCAATGATAAGAACAGAGAACACTGCAAATACCAAAATACAGGTACTGTAAATATGAAGATGCAGGGGGAAAATGCCAAGACTTTTAATGATGCCCACTGTATACTTCAAATATATCTTCAAGAGGCAGATCAAATAATTATTGGAGTTGTTATTTATATTGCATCACTACTGAAAATATTGCTGGTGCTTTCCAAATAGTCTCTTTTGCAAAGAGCTTACAACTGAAAGCCCTGATCCTGCAAAGACATAAGCATGTGCTCAGCTTTAAGCAAAGTAGTCTCACTGATTTCAGGATCTGGGCCTAAATAGGAAAGACTGACAAACCACCATTCAACCAGTAAAATGTCTGAAGTGGGCTTAGGTACATGTCTTAGTAGTTATGTTTGTGTGTTATGTTTCACCAACTCTCCCTCCTTTTTCTAGGTACCCCAGTTAACCTGCTTCACTAGTGCAGCCCCAACTTGCCCACCCTACAAAGATTCAGGCTGATGTCCTCCGAGAAAGCAATCAGCCAGATATTTTCCGTATTAATAGTATAGTTTCTAAAGGTTGTCTAGGGGTTGGAGAAGGTGTACACAAGAGCACACCTACAGCAGTTCCTGCTGTTCACTCTATCATTCTCTGCTATTGTTATGGGTGGGGGAGAACCCTTCCTGTAGTCATTGGCAACTCTTGCAGCTTAACTACTCTCAAATTAGCATGCGTGTCATAAAAGAAATCTCAGAGAAACATTTAAGTTTTCCTGACAAAAAGAACCAGCCTCGACCTAAGTCTAGGGAAGTAGCAATGTCAAACACCAAGCAATGGCCTTAAGCCTGTAACCAGGTTCCATCAAAAAAAAAAACAAAAAAAAAACCCCTATTTTAGCTCTCTCCCCATCCACTAAAATACTGACTGGCAATGCTAGTTTGGCCTGAAAATTGCCACATTTACTCTAAAGCAGGGGTCGGCAACGTTTGGCACCCTGGCGGGCCGGGCTAGTTTATTTACCTGCTGACGCGGCAGGTTTGGCCGATCGCGGCCCCCACTGGCTGCAGTTCGCCGTCCCGGGCCAATGGGGGCGGCGGGAAGCCGCGGCCAGCACATCCCTCGCCCTGAAGGGATTGAAGAAAATTTACCAAGGGGTTTTTTTGTTTGGTTTTTTTTTGAGTTACAGATCATTAAAAAGAAACCCGGATTTGAAATTTTTCTATTTGTCAAATAGTTTTCTCTTCTAGCACAAAAAACAGTTTGGTTAATATCCCTTTGAATTTTCCATATGGTCACAGATCCTTGTAAACACTGTGGCTGGGCTATATTTGGAGGGGCGGGGGGGTTGGGGAGAAACTAGGCTGTAATTACATAAAATCATTAATGATTGTTGTGGAGAAGTTAAGGTGAATCCTACTCCCAGAGCTGTCTTCTTCTGAAATGCCGCCTTCTTTCAGATATGAGCTCATTGGTCCCTTGTCCATTTCCCGTTACAGGCAGTTCTACTCTCCTCCCAATCAGAAATACCATCTAAATAATATTGACATCAATCCCTGGATTAGGATTTGTTTTAGTATCACGTTAACTAATTCTGGTCTCCCTTCTTGGATCTTTGTTCTCTCCCTGTTCCAAATTGTTGGTTGCAAGTATAGAAAGATGGAGAGATATCACCGTAGAAAAGACCAGTTTATTTCCTCTGAAGGGACCGTTGTCACGTTTTAGAGTAATTAGCCCACCCAGTCCCAACCAAAAAAATCTCTGGGTTTCAGAACTTGAGCTGTTTTGTTCTTTTTATTTCTGCCAAACTGAAGAGAATCCTTAGAAAATGAAGCCTATTATTTTTAAGATAAGTACTGCATCGATGATCTTGGGGTTACAGCATCAGACTGAGAATTAGTCATGAGAAATTCTAGTCCCATCTTTGCAACAGACTTCCTGAGTGTAGCATCTTATTACTAATGCTTTTTAGTATACACAAAACATCTTTTTGGAGTTTTAATAACACAAATAGATAATGATTTGTTCTACAGATAAAATTAGTTTTCTATCACTTCATATGAAGGGAAAAGGAGTACAACAATTTAAGTAACTAGCATTTGAACTTCAGTACTAGGAATCTGTCATTTACTATGGTTAACAAAACTAGCACACATAGTGACAACACAGCCACCACTGACAGAAACTTAGCATTTCAAGTATATATTTACTACAGATATTAATTAATGCCAAAAAAAAGTATTGGGAAATTAGCATTCAGCTTTTCTTTCAAAACTGTATATCAAGGATTTATAAAAAGTATGACCTATCCATACACCTCAAATGAGGATAATTGATTGCAAAGTTTATTGGTCTTCTACCATGACTTCAACCTTCACCCTTGGGAGCAGGGCCGGCTCTGGCTTTTTCGCCGCCCCAGGCGAAAAAGCCTCCGGCCGCCCCCCTCCCCCGCGGGGGGGGAGGGGGGCGGCCGGAGCCCCGGGGGGAGGGCAGCGAGCCCCGGCGGGGGCTGGGCTCGGCTCCCCCCCCCGGCGGCTAGAGCGCCGCGCCGCCGCCCCCCTCCAGGTGCCGCCCCAAGCACCAGCTTGGGTGCCTGGTGCCTGGAGCCGGCCCTGCTTGGGAGTAAACATTTATGAGATGAAAGCAGATTAATATTCAATTTAATCATGCCTAGAAATAAAGTGAACAATGTGAACATTTTGCCTTTCCAAGCTTTCAGCCCTCCAAGTGAATATCAACGCTGCAACAAACAATGCTTGCTATACAAATATTTCATGAATTTCAAACAAAGTGTGTTATGATCATCAGTATAGTAAATTAACTCCTTAGAAATATGTTTATGTACAAGAAAGTAGTGTGCCATGTTAGAACTGAGTTCCCAGCGGATAATTTCCAAGGTATCAGAAGAGAGAGGAGGATAAATATGTGCATAAAAAACAATTCACCAGCCCAACATGGCCTGAGAAATATTCCCCACTTTTTTCTCTCTTACTTTACTATAAATTATGGAGTTCAGAGATGAGGATGAAGAGAGGAGTAATCTAAATGTTACCTTTAAGTGGGGGTAATTACATGTTTTAGAATAGAGGAAGGGTTGAGTGTTTTCCCCCTCTTAAAAAGAAAGATTACATTCTGATTGAATTTTAATCAATCTAAATGTCTAATCCCTGCCTAAATTTCATTTCTGGGGCAAGGGTGAGGAGGGCACTGCTCCAAAAACTTGGAAGGCAGGTAATTTAAGTCATACCATCGTAGCCCCTAACTATATAGATAGGACATTCTCCCCTCTGCCACCTCCTATATGGTTCCTACATGCAGGGCTGATAAGAGGGAGAGAAAAGGAGGGACTATTGTACTGGGGCTCTGAGGTCAGGGAGCCCCCTCAAAGTGTTTTGCGTAAACAAAGTGAAATGGGAGGGAAGACAGTGACCATGATGTGCTGGGGCCCCAAAATTTCTCTTGACAGACTTGTCTACATGGAGGTAAAAGTAGAGCGAGGCCTCGTGGCTTGAAGGCTGCCACCAGCCACCAAGAAGCTACTGACAGCTAGTAAGGCTATCGCTTCTCAAGATCCACACTGGCAATGGACAAAAGCAGCTTTTCATCCTGTGAGCTGCCCAGCTACTTTCCCTGCTAGCTCTGGCCTGGTAGTTGCTACTTCTGCTTCTGTTCCACTGATCACCTGGCTCCTCTCCCCAGATGGTGACTGCTACATGTTGATCAGCACATGTAGGGGAAAGGTGCACTTTGAGGCATAAGGAGGGGCTTGGCTCCAGTCTGTCTGGACATGAGCGCCCCCTTCCAGGAGTTGGCTATTCCCCTACCGGTTTGATCAAACTTCCTCCCTTCTGAGACAGGAAGGCGGCGGGCCGGGGGGTAGGGGCCCATTCTCTCCCAATGCATCTCTAGAGTGGAGGAGAACAAGCACACAACACTCAGCAGCTCCTTTTTCCCACATCCTCTGGACCCCAGGCAATAGCCTACAACGTTATATAGGCATCCATATACTGTTGAGAGCAGTATAAAAAAAAAATCAATACATATATATGCTAACCCTGATTTTCATTAATACAGACTTATACCCTATTCCTTCAAATGCCATGACTTCAGAACTATTGCAAGAGTGAAAAATAATTCAAATACTTAATTGTAAACTGATTACTAGAATAGCTAACTTATATACACATACATTTGAAAAATGAAAGGTTGCTTACCTTCCGATAAATCATGTGACACATCGCTACTCTCAATTTCATGCCAGCCCGTTGTACATGATAAAAGTATAAGTGGTGTGTTATGGCTAAAATCAATGTACATACAGACAAAGCAGCTGCATAGCCGTAGGCAAAATTCAAAGCAGCAGTATCAAGAGGATCAAAAAATTCAAAATAATTAATAATTTTTCCCAAAAAGACTGGTTGAATTACTTTGAGTGTTTCCTAAAAGAAAGGGGGGGGGGGGGAGAGAAACAAATAGAAATAATTTATTCTGTAGTTTTCTATCCAAGTTTCTTCCAAGGCAAGTAAGAACTTTCTGGCACACCCTTCTTCCTTTATTATCTTGCTTTAAATACCCAGGCCAGTTTTTATTGCCATATAACCCAGAAGAAATGGACTTCTGTATTAACACATGTATTTTAACAGAATTAAAATTAAAATATTTAAAACTTTTCAAAAGTTCTCAAAGCCACCAATAAAATCTTTCATGTTATCGTAACAAGTTACATAAATACAGATCTCCTTTAATTTCTGAAGATCACATGGTACTTTTTTGTGACAGTTACATTTAGCAAAAAGATTTTTTTATGATTCATCCCACTAACCTATGGATACTGTAATGTACAGACCAGCAGCATATATGAGTTCAGAAACAACTCCTTGAAGGGGCAGGGGGGGCTGACAATATCACAGAGAATGTGCATTCAGTTATACCAGTGTAATACCACTCTTATGCAGTTGTAACTGAAAGGAGACTCTAACCCAGTGTTTTCAACTTCTAGTAGTCAGTGTGGCCCTATTGTATTTTTATGAGAGCAATAGAGGGAGAGATGCTTAAGGAGAGACATTCTAGTCTCTGAAAAACAAAAGTACAGAGTTTATGGCTGCTACTATCTGACATAAAGAAATTATAAATTATAAATAGGGAAAGAGTTGGGTCCCAGAATGAAATCACCACCATTCATTACAAATGCCTATAGGACAAGATTTACATTGCTATTGGGTAAAAAGATATCCAAAGATACTTTGTATTGTATTTTCCATCTCTTACCTCGATCAATGTGAAAAATCCCAAAGCTAAATAGGATTTCCAATAACAAAGTAGGATTGCTTTTGTTAAATGGGGCGTTCTTGCTTCTTTTTTAGCTTTTTGCACCTCTTTATCCCAGTACCTAGAAAATAAAGTAAAATGAGACTGGCGGACAAGAAAAGTCTAACTTAAAAATCAACAGAAAGAGAACATCATTTGCTAAAGTTGTAAAACAGAGAGTTAGGTCTGCCAAGTTATCTGGTCAGTCACTCCACATCCTGCACAATCAAATACTTTCTCTTTAAGAACCTGACACCAAAATAATCTTTTTTTTTTAATTTAATTTTATTTATTTATTTTTGCTGGCCCATGAAAGCCTGTGGTTAGCATTACAGGCTCATTTTGTTCCTCTGTGCTCAAGAACACACTGATAATATCAACAAACCTTGGACTAGTTGCTGATTTATAGAAACGTACAACAAAGGCAGAACTAGCAAGTCACAGTCCTTGGTTTGTTCTTAGCCTGGATCAGAGTGAGCCAGTTAAGCTAAGTTAAGGGCTAAGTCACAATAAGCCTTCTTGGCACTGGCCTGAACTGAGGCAGTGTGGAGATGCTCCACCTCAGCAAAATCCCTCTTGAGCTCCAAGAAGAACAGAGCAGTGTGCACATACACAGTTTGTTAGGTTGTGAAGCATGCTCTCTTATCTTCTCCTGGTCATGTACTTCGGTGAAGGGGAAGTGGATTTTTTTTTATTATTATTATTTGCATTATCATATTGCCTAGGAGCCCCAGTCATGAACCATGACGTTATTGTGCTAGGTGCTGTACAAACACAGAACAAATAGACAAGCTCATCAGTTAAGGGACCACTCTAAAAAGTGGACTCAAGATGGACTCAGGGTGGAGGAAGGAGGATAACACACAAGCAGAAAGAACAATGTGATGGTGCACATCATCATTGGGTGGATTGCACCACTTGTGGTGCCCAGGCTTCCCCAGCATGTGCTCCTTCCTAAGGCAGGGACTGTGACTGTGCTTGACCTTTGCATTGTGGCAGGGCTGGGCACCTGCACATGAGCAAGGCACAATCTGTTCAAATCCGAATCAAAAGACAGTAAGAACACAAGTGATCATTCTGTTCATATAACGTGATCAAGAATACACCAGCAACACTCTACAATTGTTGAAGCACGGGATTTTCACATAAGGTGCCTCCCTCGTTTCTGGAGGTTAAGTGCATTCTGCTGTGCACCGAGACCCTGTTGATCCGAAAACTGCGAATACACCAAGGTCTCAAACCTGTTAAAAGATGGCACGCTGACTTTGAGCGAGCGGAATAGCTGCCAGAAAGATATTATCTTGATTACTGAGATATTTTTCCTTATCCTCGGAGGAGGGGGAGGGAAGGAGAATAGGGTAAAATGACAGACTCCACAGTGCAGTTTGTTGGATTTTGTGAAGTTTCTATAAGCCTTAGTCTCGCAGTAGTGAAGGCTGCTTGCTTAAGTAAAGTAGAATCAGAGGTTAAAATAGGGAAAGAACAAGTTAAAAATTACTTAGACAAATTAGATATCTTCAAGTCACCAGGGCCTGATTAAATACATCCTAGAATACACAAGAAGCTGACTGAGGAGATATCTGAGCCATTAGCGATTATCTTCAAAAAGTCATGGAAGAGAGATTCCAGAGGACTGGAAAAGGGCAAATAAAGTGCCCATCTATGTAAAGGGAAATAAGGACAACCTGGGGATTTACAAAACAGTCAGATTAACTTCAGTACCCAGAAAGATAATGGAGCAAATAATTAAGCAATCACCTAGAAGATAATAAAGAGATAAGTAACAGTCAACATGGATTTGTCAAGAACAAATCATGTCAAACCAACTCAATAGCTTTCTTTGACAGGATAACAAGCCCTGTGGATATTGGGAAGTGGTAGATGTGGTATATCTTGACTTTAGTAAGGCTTTTCATACTGTCTTACACAACATTCTCATAAACAAACTAAGGAAATACAACCTAGATGGAGCTACTATAAGGTGGGTGCATAACTGGCTGGAAAACCTCTCCCAGAGAGTAATTATTGTGGTTCACAGTCAAGCTGGAAGGGCATATCGAGTGGGGTCCCGCAGGGATCAGTTCTGGGTCTGTTCAATATCTTCATCAATGATTTAGATAATGGAATAGAGAGTATACTTATAAAGTGTGCGGATGATATCAAGCTTGTAGGGGTTGCAAGTGATTTGGAGCATAGGTTTAAAATTCAAAATAATCTGGACAAACTGGAGAAATGGTTTGAAGTAAATAGGATGAAATTCACTAAGGACAAATGCAAAGTACTCAATTTGGAAGGAGCAATCAGTTGCACACATATATGGGAAACGATTGCCTAGGAAGGAATCCTGCAGAAAGGGATCTGGGAGTCATAGTGGATCACAAGCTAAATATGAGTCAACAGTGTAACACTGTTTGAAAAAAAGCAAACACCATTCTGGGATGTACTGTATTAGCAGGAGTGCTGTAAGCAAGTCACAAGTAATTCTTTCACTCTATTCTGGGTTGATTAGGTCTCAAATGGAGTATTATGTCCAGTTCTGGGTATCACATTTAATGAAAGATGTGGATAAATGGGAGAAAGTCCAGAGAAGAGCAACAAAAATTATTTAAAAAAATCTAGAAAACATGCCCTATCAGGGAAGACTGAAAAAATTGGGTTTGTTTAGTCTGGAGAAGAGAAGACTGAGACGGGACATAACAGTTTTCAAGCACATAAAAGGTTGTTACAAGGAGGAGGGAGAAAAATTGTTCTCCTTCACCTCTGAGGATAGGACAAGAAGCAATGGGCTTAAACTGTAGCAAGTGTGGTTTAGATTGGACATTAGGAGAAACTTCCTAACTGTCAGGGTGGTTAAGTGTTGTGTATTTGGCTGTCGTGGTAATAGAATCTTGTTGTTGCTATGGCAATTGAGTTAGATTATTAGGGGATAGCCCAGCCAGTTTTGGCTGGTTTTTGGTTAGTTCAGTGTGTGGCAATAAATGGCTGCTTTAAGATTTACAGCTCTCTGTGTCTCAAGTGATTTCTTCCCAAAACTGTTGCCTCCAAGGATATAACATTAAGCACTGCAATAAATTGCCTAGGGAGGTTGTGCAATCTCCATCATTGGAGTTTTACAAGCAAGTTAGACAAACAACTGTCAGGGATGGTCTAGATAATACTTAGTCCTGCCATGAGTGCAGGGGACTGAACTAGATGACCTCTCGAGGTCCCTTCCAGTCCGACGATTCTGTGATTCTATGATTTACAAATGACTTTCCTTGTGTGTTGTCAAGTAGAATAGAAAGTGAAAATGCACATATAGACCCATAGACTCTGCTAAATATCCCATTATGTCTATGCAAGCATTTTTCCTGACCACATGGGAAGGAAGTGCAATTATTGCAAGAGACACTGGAAAGACTTCACCCTCCTTTATAGTGAAAGCCCTGAACTCTTCAAGGTACGTCAGTGGATTTTCACTTTGATTATAATGAGAACTCACTCAAATTGATATTCACTTCCACCATAATTAGGTTCTTCTATGCTAATACTCTTGGAATTCTGCAATGATCTGCTGAATAGATGTTAAATGCTGCATTCCAAGGGGATTATCAATTTAACTACTACTTCTGCTCTAGCTAACTCAGGTTCAAAGAAGTTGTCGCTACTCCTTGCTCCTTCTCCTTTACAGAGAAGTCCTTGCTCCCAATCTAGTTAAGAGTGACAATTAGACCTTTCAGAAGATTCCGTCCACCTCCTCCATAGCTGCCTCTCCTCATGTAACAGCAGAAAGTTAAGAGGCCACGCCACCACTCCTCTGGTAGAGAGGAGAGAATCTTTCAGTAGGAAAGCCTCCTGCAGATATATTGAAACACTGCCTGTTTTAAGTTATTATGTAATAAAAACCTCTCTCCTATAACAGAGGTACTGATGAGGTTCCTGTAGGAGCCTCAAGAAAGAAAATTACTTGCATGAACTGTTATTCTCTTAAAACATGTTATAATAAAGATACACTCTTGGTCCATGATCCCGGCACATGACTGGAACGGACTCTCTTAACCTTTAAGCCTGCCTTGAAAAAGGATATTTATACCTACCTTGAAAGGATTAGATTTTTATCAGTAAATGTCAGTAGACAATTGATTTCACCCTACACACACAAGCCAACAAAAAATATTTCCATTGATAACAACAGAAATTTACAGATAGGCAGAGTAAGAAAAATGCTGTTTGAAAACTTAGAAGTTTGATTCAGGTATATTTACTGTGTATACTTACATATGTGATGTTGATAATTTGTGTTTTAACAACTATAAAGCTTTAACTTTTTGAATCTCAGAGTCTGTCATTAAATAATTATTGTCTGACCCCTCCTATTGTCTGATCCTCCCAAAACTTCCCACAACTGTGAAAATTTAAAATCAATAAAAACTGGAAAAAGCTTAAAGCCCATAATTTTGCATGACTTTTATCTTTATCAGTTTAAATTTTCAAAGTATTTAAAAACAAACATTAATATTAACTATCAAGTTATAAAAAAAATCAAGTTCTGCCAACCCTATTCATACCACTGGACCTATACCAGTGCAAAAAATCCTAGTGAAGATAAGCCCTTAGATGTCCTGTGCAGCTAAACCCTCTCTGTCAATCAGTGGCATATTTCACCTTTACTAAGGGAATGTTGTTGCCCCTACTTATTCTGTTTGTTCTGTTTTTCAAGCAAAAAGGTAGAAAGCACAAACTTGTTCCCCTGTCTCTGTAAAGAGAGTAAGTTGCATAATATATCTGTACCACAGCATAGGGTTGCTTTATTAAGGTATAATTATTGGAATGTCAGAGTACAGAATCTTCAATTCCAGGCATTTTGTAGAGTGCCATTCAAATGAAGCATCTTTGAAGAAAAGATGATAATGCAAATCCTTTTACAGTAGCTCCTCACTTAACGTCCTAGTTATGTTCTTGAAAAATGCAACTTTAAGCAAAATGATGTTAAGCGAATCCAATTTCCCCATAAGAATTAATGTAAATGGGGCGGGGGAGAGGAGTTAGGTTCCAGGGAAATTTTTTTCACCAGACAAAAGACATTTTATACATACACAGTATATGTTTTAAATAATTTTTAACAAACAATTTAATACGGTACTCACCAATGATGATTGTGAAGCTTGGTTGAGGCAGGGGCATAGCGGGGTTGGAGTGTGTGGGCTTGCCCTGTTCCGCCCGCCTAGTGTTCCAGCCAGGGAGCTAGGTCAGGGCGCGGGGGGGAGGCGGGGAGGGTTCCCTGCACCCTGGCTGGAATGTCGGATGGGCAGAGCAGGGCAAGTCCCCACGCCCCGACCCTGCTCCCCGGCAAGAGCGCCAGGTGGGCAGAATGGGGGGGGAGCCAAACAACATTATGAGGGAACATTGCAGGACTTTAAAGGAGTATGTTCTCTAATAGGTCAGCAACCTAATAGTGAAACAACATTAACTGGGAGGATGTTAAGTGAGGAGTTACTGTATATGTTTTCATCCCAGAGCACTCATCTTCACAGTGAAGACGTGACTACATAAAGTGTTGATTTTTTCCTTACCATTGCAACTCCTCTCCAACCCTCTCTGATGAATCTTCAGCCAGTACTTTGTACATATCATCTTCTTCAAGCTTTCGTTTGTGACCAGTAACAAATAAAGGATTCAACCACCTATTTAAATATACAATACAAACTTTTATATTCAGTCAATGGAGCAGAAAGAGTAATTTACTTATGTATTAGTTTGATTTCTCGGGTACTTACAAGCCTCCCCCACCCTATTACTGTGGTAACTGAGCACTTCACAGTCTTTACCATATTTATCCTCACAACCCCAGAGACGTAAGAAGTCACCCTGATTTTACAGATAAGGAACTGAGACACAGAGAGACTCAAGGTATGTCTACACTGCAATTAGACACCCGCAGCTGGCCTATGTCAATGTAGAAGTTGGGGCTCGAGCTGCAGCCTGAGCTCTGGGACCCTCCCACCTCACAGGGTCCTAGAGCCTAGGCTCCAGCTTGAGCCCAAACATTTACACCGCAGCTAAACAGCCCCTTAGCTTGAGCCCCATGAGCCCCAATCAGCTGGCACAGGACAGCCATGGGTGTCTAATTGCAGCGTAGATGTACCCAAGGTGACTTGCCCAACGTTACACAGGAAGTCTGTGGCAGAGCAGGGAATTGAACACTGGTCTCTCAAGTCCTCACCCCGTTCCTTCCTCTCCACTGTCCAGACACTCGGTATTGTATACTCTTACCAGCATAGAAAGCAGGAAATAAAGAATATTTTGACAATCAGTCCCTCTTAAAAGGAGTGGAATTCTGGCTAAGTAGAAGAGCTTAAAATTTCCCATCAATAAAAAATGAGTCACAAAATTTATAGCAAGGAAATATACATTAGAAATGACACTTACGAAAATAAAGTCAGAAAATAAGGTAAATTTGTATCACTATGGGACATACTATAATAATAATATTTTGGGACTAAAAAGAGATGGGAGTAATAACAATTCTTAAAATCTTTTAACAGTTTTATGCAACAATTCTAGTGATATGTCCAATTAAATCATTAAATGGCGGATATGGTCCAAAATTATCCCTGTTAGAGAATTTTCTTAAAACTGGAATCGCCTACATAATATTTATCTTTCAAATGTACCAAACTCTATAAACTATAGCATGTAAACTAGACAAACCAAAATGTAAAACACTAAGCTAGAGACTGAAATCCCACACACATAGGAAGGAATTGTCCACTATCAGACAAAACATCTAAATCTCAAAAAACAAAAGAACTATATACTTCATTATCATCTCCAACACAGTCTTCATGAATAACTTTGGGTAGTTAACTAAAGTGCTTGGGATAGAAATAGAACTGAGGGAATAACTGATTTTGCATTCAGTGGCAGAACTGAAAAATGCAGAAACAGAAAAAAAATTCCTCATTTTAGGTTCAACCCCAAACCAGAATTTTTTTTCAGTTTCTCAAAGAAATGAAGGGGAAAAAACCCTGAAAAAGTTCAATTTGAGTTAAAACATTCTGCTCAACCTGAAATTAATTTTTTTGAGGGTGGGGTTGATTTAGAAGTATAAACATTTTATTTTGAAAATGTAAAAAAATAAAACATTTTGACTTTTTCAAAAATTTTCTTCATTTTTTTGGCCAAATCTATTTGCCAGATTTGACCCAAATTCACAAATAGTTTTGGTCAACTCAAAACTGGTGGTGGTGGTGGTTTTTTCATCCCAAAAATTTCACCCAGCTCCAGATATAAAGATGATATTTTCTGGCACTCCAATATCGCCAAAGGCACTGCCCTGCTCAAATTCTGTTGATGTCCTATCCTGAATTATTTCTAGACCTGTATAAAATACTTCCTCTGCCAGAAATCCAAGGAAAATAAATAACCTTTAATTCCAAGCTCCGCCAATTGTGAGTCACTCAGGAGACACATCTGGTTGTGAGGGGACACAGACACCTTATTTTAATTATGCTAGGCTGTGTAGAAAAACATGTAACCAGACATTTGAAAGCTGCTGAATCTTCATCAAAGAGTCAAGAGAAATCTTGCAATGCCTCATGGAGTTATAAATATATGTCACGAGAAAGTATATGGGGACACATTTCATGGCCTGATATCCATTCACTATATATATGGAAAGAAAGAAGCTACCCTCAACTAAGCAGAATATGGATGCAATACTAGCCAAAAGATTTACTCTGTCTGACCTGACTAGGCTCTTCAAGTTTAAAAATATAAGAGAAAACTGCTATTCAGCTAGCTCACTCACAAATATAAAACTTGATAATTAAAATGTTCACATTGTGAAGTTTTAAATGTAGAATGATTGTTAAGGGAAGTGTTTTGCAAATACATTACAAAGTGTGCTATCAGCATTAATATTAATAAAAGACATAGTAAAAATGCAATTAGGAAGAAATGGACAGATTAACAAAGGGACATATTTTTCTAAGAGCTCAGCTCCCATTTAGACATCAAAATAATTGGCCAGATTTTCAAAAAATTCAGTATATTAAAAAAGCTCTTCTGAAAATCTTGCCAGAAGTGTCATAGTGGGAGTTGTTGAGTACTGAGCACTGTAAAATATGACTCCAATTATGGGCACTGAGTATTGATAACGTGGTCCACAATATGTAAGTAATAGCAGAGAGAGTGGGGCCATGTCTACACAAGAGAGTTAAGTGGACTTAAGTAATATCGATGATCATAAGTCATTTAATGCCATCAGTTGTGCACGTCCACACAATGCTCCTTGTGTTGGCGGAACACATCCACAGTCGTCGCTCTTGCAACGAGAAAGAGAGTGTTGCATTGTAGGTAGCTATCCCATTGTGCAACTTGCCATCCTCTGCCGCTGGAATCTCTGGGAACGGATCGTAGTGCATCATGGGGACATGCTCACTGTCCCGTGATGCAGTTCTTTCCGTCCCACCATTCCATGGGCTTCCTACTTCATTTTGTGCCATTTTTCTTACTCTGCCTATCTGTGCCGTTTTCCAAAAGTCCTTGTAAACTGTGTGCCCGCCATCTCTGCCTGACAGCATGGATCCTGAGCTGCTGACCAGTCTGGTGATGAGCGTTATGAACACAATGCAGCTGGTCCTGCAGTATTTCATGAGCAGAGATTCAAAACAGAGATTGACATGGAGTGTATTGCTTATTAGCTTGGAACATGCATGGAGGGCAAATATATAAACATAAGCAAATGAGTTATTAGGTTTTCTATAACTGATGGCCTGTTGTATGCTAGAGGCTGTGATTTAGCTATATAGTGTAGGACTAAGGTGATATCTGATCTACAGTTATTTTGCACTGTCATTCTCAGAGACAAATGAGTAACCACAAATGGCACCACACCACAGGATTGCAAGAAAGAAGCTAGGGGGGAGGGGGACTTTAGCAATTAGGTTGCTATGCAGTATCTAAGCAGTTAGACTGAATGCCAATAAAAATGAGGTAGGATCAGAGGTTAAAATAGGGAAAGAACAAGTTAAAAATTACTTAGACAAGTTAGATGTCTTCAAGTCAACAGGGCCTGATTAAATACGTCCTAGAATACTCAAGGAGCTGACTGAGGAGATATCTGAGCCATTATCAATTATATTTGAAAAGTCATGGAAGAGAGATTCCAGAGGACTGGAAAAGGGCAAATATAGTGCCCATCAATAAAAAGGGAAATAAGGACAACATGGGGAATTACAGACCAGTCAGATTAACTTCAGAACCTGGAAAGATAATGGAGCACATAATTAAGCAATCACCTAGAACGGGGGTAGGCAACCTATGGCACGTGTGCCGAAGGCTGCACGCGAGCTGATTTTCAGTGGCACTCACACTGCCCAGGTCCTGGCCACCGGTCCGGGGGGCTCTGCATTTTAATTTAATTTTAAATGAAGCTTCTTAAACATTTTAAAAACCTTATTTACTTTACATACAACAACAGTTTAGTTATATATTATAGACTTATAGAAAGAGACCGTCTAAAAACGTTAAAATGTATTACTGGCACGCAAAACCTTAAATTAGAGTGAATAAATGAAGACTCGGCACACCACTTCTGAAAGGTTGCCGACCCCTGACCTAGAAGATAATAAAGTGATAAGTAACAGTCAGCATGGAGCGGAACTGGATGGCACTCCATCCCCAGCCTCCATGGGGGCTGGCCCGGGCCCCAGCAGTGCCCCCCCCCAAACATTCCTCCACATCCCCCTGGGGGGGCACCCCACAGTTTGGGGACCTTTGATTTAGATAATGGCACAGAGAGTACACTTATAAAGTTTGCAGACAATAACAAGCTGGGAGGGGTTGCAAGTGCTTTGGAGGATAGGATCAAAATTCAAAATAATCTGGACAAACTGGAGAAATGGTCTGATGACCAAACAGGATGACATTCAATAAGGACAAATGCAAAGTACTCCACTTATGAAGGAACAATCAGTTGCACACGCACAAATTGGGAAATGAGTGCCTAGGAAGGAGTCCTGCAGAAAGGGATCTGTGAGTCATAGTGAATCACAAGCTAAATATGAGTCAACAGTGTAACACTGTTGCAAAAAAAGCAAACATCATTCTGGGCTGTATTAGTAGGAGTGTTGTAAGCAAGACACGAGAAGTAATTCTTCCGCTCTATCCCATGCTGATTAGGCCTCAACTGGAGTACTATGTCCAGTTCTGGGTGCCACATTTCAGGAAAGATGTGGACAAATTGGAGAAAATCCAGAGAAGAGCAACAAAAATGATTAAAGATCTAGAAAACATGACCTATGAGGGAAGATTGAAAAAATTGTGTTTATTTAGTCTGGAAAAGAGAAGCCTGAGAGGAAACATGATAACAGTTTTCAAGCACATAAAAGGTTGTTACAAGGAGGAGGGAGAAAAATTGTTCTCTTTACCTCTGAGGCTAGGACAAGAACCAATGGGCTTAAATTGCAGCAAGGACGGTTTAGGTTGGACATTAGGAAAAACTTCCTAACTGTCAGGGTAGTTAAGCACAGGAACAAATTGCCTAGAGAGGTTGTGGAATCTTTGTCATTGGAGATTTTTAATGCAGGTTAGACAAACACCTGTCCAGGATGCTCGAGATAACACTTAGTCCTGCCATGAATGCAGGGGACTGCACTAGTTGATCTCCTGAGGTCCCTTCCAGTGCTACAACTCTATGATCCTACATATAGGAATTAAGAAATAAGTGATAGAAATCATTACTATGAATGCTTGATGCTTAGTTATGGACATCCCAAAGACCACATATGGCACTCCACATATGGATAAGGGCAGCTATTGACCTTATAATCAGGGTAAAGGATCAAATATAGTATATATCCCTACTATTACCATAAGGAAGAGTACAAAATACCAAATCCAGTTCCCATTTCTTCAGATTCATCAGGTCCCCAAGACAGTGTAAGTTGAATCAGGATCTGCCTTCTGATGGGTTTATAGACTTTAAGGCCAGAAGGGACCATCATGATCATCTGCTCTGACCTCCTGCACATTGCAGGCCACGTAACCTCACCCACCCACTCCTGTAATAGACCCATGACCTCTGGCTGAATTACTGAAGTCCTTAAATCATGATTTAAAGACTTCAAATTACAGAGAATCCACCATTTACAGTAGTTGAAACCTGTAAGTGACCTGCTTGCCCTATGCTGCAGAGAAAGACAAAAAACTCCCAGGGTCTCTGCCAATCTGACGCAGGGGAAAATTCCTTCCCATCCCCACAAATGGAAGTCAGTTGGATCCTGAACATTTCAGCAAGACCCACCAGCCAGACACCAGGAAAGAATTCTCTGTAGTGACTCTGAGCCCATCTAGTGTCCCATCACTGGCCATTGGGGATATTTGCTACTAGCAGTTGCAGATTAGCTACATGCCATCGTATCATCCCCGCCACAAACTTATCAAGCTCAGTCTTGAAGTAAGTGAGTTTTTTGTGTCCTCCCATCCCCATTCCCCTGAGAAGGCTGTTACAGAACTTCACTCCTCTGATGGTTAGAAACCTTCATATAATCTCAAGCCTAAACTTGTTGATGGCCAGTTTATATCCATTTGCACTTGTGTCAACGTTGGTGCTTAACTTAAATAATTCCGCCCCCTCCCTGGTATTTAGCCCTCTGATGCGTTTAAAGAGAGCAATCATATCTCCCCTCAGCCTTCTTTTCGCTAGGCTAAACAAGCCAAGCTCTTTGAGTCTCCTCTCACAGGGGAGGTTTTCCATTCCTCTGATCATTCTAGTAGCCCTTCTCTGCACCTGTTCTGATTATAATTAAGCTTTCTTGAACATGGGAGACCAGACCTGCACACAGGATTCCAGATGAGGTCTCACCAGTGCCTTGTATAATGGTACTAACACTTCCCTGTCTCTACTGGAAATAGCTCACATGATGCATCCTAGGACTGCATTAGCTTTTTTCAAGGCTGCACCACATTGGCAGCTCATCCCGTAATCAACCAATATGGTCTTTCTCCTCCTCTGTTGCTTCCAACTGATAAGTCCCCAGCTTATAGCAAAAATTCTTGTTGTTAGTCCCCAAGGGCATGACCTTGCACTTTCCACTAATAAATTTCATCTCATTTCTATTACTCCAGTTTTCAAGGTCGTCCAGATCTTCTTGTATGATATTATATTCTGGTCCTCCTCTTTATTGGCAATACCTCCCAGCTTTGTGTCATCTGCAGATTTTATTAACACACTCCCACTTTTTGTGCAAAGGTCACAAAAAATGTCTAAAAAATAAAAATGGTCCCAAGACTGATCCCTCAGGAACTCCATTAATAACCTCCCTCCAGCCTGACAGATCACCTTTCAGTTCCTTTAACCCCTTTAACCAGTTTCTTATCGACCTTCCAATTCTCGTATCAGCACATCCCTCGGACCGCACCGCTTCCCGTAGCCCCCATTGGCCTGGGACGGCGAACCGCGGCCAATGGGAGCCAATGCCAGGTGTCCACAGGGAATGTACAGAACAGGTAATCATCAAGTGATCCATCCCATCGCCCATTCCCAGCTTCTGGCAAACAGAGGTTAGGGACACCATCCCTGTCCATCCTGGCTAATAGCCACTGATGGACCTATCCTCCATGAGCTTATCTAGTTCTTTTTTTGAACCCTCTTATAGTCTTGGCCTTCGCAACATCCTCTGGCAAGGAGTTCCACAGGTTGACTGTGTGTTGTATGAAAAAATACTTCATTTTGTTTTAAATCAATTTCCTATTAATTTCATTTGATGACCCCTAGTTCTTGTGTTATGAGAAGGAGTAAATAACACTTCCTTCTTTACTTTCTCCACACAAGTTATGATTTTATAAACCTCCATCATATCCCCCCTTAGTCATCTCTTTTCCAAGCTGAAAAGTCCCAGTCTTATTAATCTCTTCTCATATGGCAGCCGTTCCATACCCCTAATCATTTTTGTTGTCCTTTTCTGAACCTTTTCCAATTCCAATATATTTTTTTAGATGGGGGCAACCACATCTGCATGCAGTATTCAAGATGTGGGTGTACCATGGATTTATATAGAGGCAATATGGTGTTTTCTGTCTTCTTATCTATCCCTTTCTTAATGATTCCCAACATTATGTTAGCTTTTTTGACTGCCACTGCACATTGAGTGGGTGTTTTCAGAGAACTATCCACAATGACTCCAAGATCTCTTTCTTGAGTGATAACAGCTAATTTAGACCCCATCATTTTATATGTATAGCTGGGATTACATTTTCTAATGTGCATTACGTTGCATTTATCAATATTGAATTTCATCTGCCATTTTGTTGCCAGGTCATCCAGTTTTGAGAGATCCTTTGGTAGCTCCTCACAGTCTGCCTGGGACTTAACTATCTTGAGTAGTTTTGTATCAAAACTCCAAAAATCCAATTAAGACAACAGCCTGCCACTGTCAGTGCTTCCTGCAATAAAGTTGCCTGGAGCCTGTTTTGCCTCTTTCTTTGCCCTTGTGGTAAACGT